GGAGGAGGCTGCTCTTCACCTTGATGATTATATGCGTCTTGTGCACGCAACTCTTTGATTTTTGCCAACAATCTCAAAACAGAGTTCATCGCACGCATCAGTTCCTCGGGATTCTTAGTTGTGAGAAGACGCTCATCATCCCACCACTGAGGTAACCCTAATTCTTTCCTCGCGAAACAAATCCCAAGGTCCTCATCATCATCATCTCTTTCTTCTCGAACAGGTTTTCCTCCCGTGAGATAAGCCTTAACGATGGAGTCAACGGAAGTGTGACCGAAGGAGAAGAAGCTTACGTTGGAGTTGGCAGAAGGAGGAGTGGCCAACACGGCGATCTGCGCGTCCGTGAGAAGACAGAGCTGTGCTATTTTGCTGTGGAGACCGTTTGTTCGTTTCGTGTAAGTCGTTGCCGCAGATTCACGTTTCGTGATCTTCTTCATCACAGCCTTCCTCTTCGTGCCTTTCACCATTCTTCTCTCGTGGAAAAAAAACAATCAATAGACTTTTTAGGGTTTCTTCGTGAGAGTGATTTTTTGTTTCTTTGTTTTGTTTAGCGTATCAACAAAGCAAAGAGGTGATCGATGAACTCTAGTCTCTCTCACTATATATAGAGTCAACAATTTACTGATTAATTGGACTCTTCTGAAAAAAGAAATAAAATAAGCAAATCTAGGTTTGATTATGTTGTTCACAAAAAGAAAGTCGGCGATGTGAACCAAACATCATATACCGCTTCCGGTTTACTTAAACCAATTATAGCTTTTTCGATAAAAAAACCAATTATAGCTTTCGTTTGTTTTTCCCGTGTAATCATCTAAAGTCTAAAGTGGCACCGTTTTGTAATTGTTTTACTAAATGTCGGCCATGTAACCAACATCAAAACCGGTTTAGTTAAACCAATTATGGCTTTAGTTTTCTTCTTTTTTTTTTCTTTTCCCGCTTGATTCACTTTAAATGGGTCAATAAACTACACGATTTTGCTACCGATTTATAGAACTGGTTAGTAATTTGCTCTAATTTATTACAGTTATTATAATCCTAAACCATGGAACCAAACTAAATTTGCTTCTTATCTCTTTCTTCAGTGAAACAAATTAGAAAAAAAAGTATGAGATGCGAACAAATCTATACATGACAACTCGATTGAGCTCGTGCTTAACGCCTATTCAATTTGACTTGCCTCCTTCTTCTTCTTCTTCTTCTTCACCTCGACTGTTCTCTAACCGTAGTGGCTCCTACATTCGAGAAGATAGATGTGAATCCTCCTAAAGGAACACTCAGATTTCCCTCCTGAGAATATGCAACTGGCTTCAAAGAGGTCACTCTAGAATTATTTATGTGTTTTTACTTATTATGAAATAATAATAGTTTGTAAAAATCGTATATACTCCCTCTGTTCCTTAAAGATACATATTATAGAAAAACAATTGTTTTTAAAAGATCTATTTTTTACATTTTCAATGCATGTTTTATTAACTAATTGTAAACTTCAAAAATTTAATTGTACTAATTGATTTTTTATTGGTTTAAAATTATGGAAAGAAGATAAATACAAAAAAACTATGCAAATTTATTGTGGTTTATTAAAAAGTGTGAACAAAATAGAATATAGATCTTTTAAAAACAGAGGGAGTATTAAATTAGGGGAAGTCCGCGCTACGCGCAGGATGAGATGTATTATTATTTTGTTTTAAATATAAATTATATTTTGATCGACACATCTGTGTGGATAACCTTTCATTTTATAAATATAAAATTTTATATTATTTTTTATATAATCATTTTTAGATAATATATTGCTTTTATTTTTTTTAAATCAATAAACAGATAATATATAGTTATATGTATAAATATTTAACATATGTTCATAATTTACAAATTTAATTTTTTTATGATATTTTATTTATATAATTAAATGAAAGTATTTTTCAAAATATATTAATTTACCAATTTAATACAATTTTTATATGTAATTCATCTATTACTTCTATTTTAATATAATATAGACTATAATTATAATATTTATAAAATTAACATTTAATTTTATTATATTTTGATTTTAATAAAATTTTAATTAAAATTAATTTATAATAATATTATACTACTAATTACGACATTAATCAGTGCATTAATTAAAAAATAATTATTATTTAAAAAAAAAAGATTTTGTTAGATTTTTTCTCAACAAGTTTTGTTATTACTAAAACTAAAATTTAAATTAACAGTTAAATAGATTTGTTATTAATATCCTTATAATTATTTAAAAATGTATACATTAAATAAACTACTGTTTTAATTAAAAATGTAACTGAATATATGGTCCTACTACTATGACAATTTTATAGTAGATAAAAATGGTAATTCTCTTTTAGTAGAGAAGATTTTTCTAAGCATTTTTGTTTGTGTCCATTTGGTTGGCAGTGTGTAATGTTAGTCGATTAGTCTTCAAATGGTCAACTCGCTCTTTATAACATCTATAGTTATTGTTGTTTATGTGTTAGGTTAAGCTTATGTTGGTTTTTGAATGTCATTTCTCGTTTAGATAGTAAATTCTATTTAAAAAGTCTGGCCAAATTTAGAGGTATGTTTTCTAAATTATCATATTGTAAGAATGAAACCTGAATATTACAAAATTTGAACTATTATACTTATCTTTACGTTAGTTATTTTTTTTGAATAAAATAACGTTAGTTTTTTTATGAATATATATCGTTGACATTAACAGTTTCCTTTCTATGTATTAATTTTTCTTTCTATGTATTCATTACTATGTTCGGCATTTGAGAATCTATATTATAATAGTAGACTTTCTAAGTTCCACAACGCGCCACGTCAGCAGTTTTGTGGGTCGTGTAGATATTTTTTAAAAACTCATAGTTTTGGTAAGATGATTACAAACAATGAAATATACTTTAGCCAAGTGGTATAAGGTGTCTAATTAAACATGCAAGATCGTGGGTTCAAACCACGTAGCTATCATGTTTTTTTTTTATTTTTTGATTTGGGTTATTATCATATGGCTTTTTTGTTTATAAGGTTTTTATGTTTTTTTGGGCTTATTGTTTTAAAGATCAAAATAGTTGGATAAACCCTAAAGCTTAACAAGTTCAAACCCAAAAGTAGTTAAAAATAGATCAAAAAACAAACAATAAAAAAACAAAAAAAAGCAAGTCCCATGCGGTTGCCTACGCAGATGGCTTAAAGAGCCTTAAAACTATCCTATTATAATATAGCTCAACCTAAAAATAATAAAAATGGATCCAAAACCAAACAGACCAAAAACAAAAAAAGTGAGTCATACGCAGCTGTCTATGTGGATAGCTTAATGAGACTTGAATAATATAGATTAAGAACTCAAAAAGTTATATCATTTCACATATTTCCTAAGTTGTCTACGTGGATAGCTTAATGAGACTTGAATAATATAGATTAAGAGCTCAAAAAGTTAAATCATTGCACATATTTGCTAATATATATTTTCAAAAAAATTTGTATGTGAGATAAAATAAAAAAACAACAAAAATTAATTATTTTCGTTATTTATTAAATGAATATGTAATTTCTCTTACATTTTAATAACTACTATAATTTCATTGAAAACCTTCCTCACCACCGATTCTAGACTCTGTCGAATGGATTCCCACAGTCAATGACGTCGTAGATAAAAATTCCACATCATTTATGAACAAAAATCAAACTTACAAAAAAACATATATAAAAATCTATCTAATGAAACTTAAACAACTGAATATTAACTTGATTAATGTTATTTTCAAATTGATAAATCATTTAATACAAATACAAATATTATAAATATATAATTATATCAAGTTTTAATCTACGATATAAAAATTATTTACAAAAAAAACACACACACACATGCTTTTACACACTAAAAACTATATTATAGCTTAACTATTCCTATAAACCTTACTTCACATATAAATAATATTTAAAACATTCCTAATATATTTTCAAAAAAAAAATTATATGTGAAATAAAATAAAATAAACAACAAAATGTAAGTATTTTTCATTATTTATTAAATGAATATGTAATTTCTCTTACATTTTAATAACTACTATAATTTCATTGAAAACATTTCTCACCACCGACTCCAAACTCCGGCGAATGGATTCTCATAGTCGATGACGCCGTAGATAAAAATGCCACATCTTTTATGAACAAAACCCAAACTTACAAAAAAACATATATAAAAACCTATCTAATGAAACTTAAACAACGAATATTAACTTAATTAAGGTTATTTTCAAATTGATAAATTGTTTAATACAAATATAAATACTATAAATATAGAATTATATCAAGATTTTACCTACGATATAAAACTATTTACAGCAAAAAAAAATAGACACCTACTTTTACATACTAAAAACTATATTATAGCCTAACTATTCCTATAAACCCTAATTCACATATAAATAATATTTAACGCATTGTATATACAATATTTTCACTTTACACTCTTACTACATTCTTTTTATTTCTTATTATTTGGTGTCAATAGAAGAATCCACTAAACCAACAATCAAAAAAATACACGCAAACACAATAATCCCGGCCCCGCGCTTGCGCGGGGAGTATGCAACTAGTGAGAAAGATAGCAGTCTTACTTATTTAAAATCTGTAAATTGTTGCACTGAGTGCAGAATTTTATTTATGTAATCTGTCCATAAGATTTTAGAGCATTATTTTCTATTTTTTTCCATTTAAGATTACGTTCTTAGTGTCCTTTCTGACATTTTCTTGGGAACGTTTTTGGTATTTAAGTCCCTCTACTGCGCCTGGCTGGTAACCACGTTCGAAATATGGTAGCATAGCTGCAGCTAGTACTTGTCGGGTGGGTTCTATGCTCTTATGCCGTTGGGCGAGAAAGGGAGTTAAATATTGCCACACTTCTCTCACATGGTTCACGTGTTGATAGTGTCTTGAGTTATCAATTGTTTGCTTACTATGTTTCTTCATCTCTGTTATTTTTATAAGAATAAACCACCACCTGATTTTCGAGACATCAAATTGATATCACTCAAATTACCCTAAGGAGTGATTTACTTTCTCAAATAAGAGGTTCAATTGTAGTACTTATGGATCGAATTCACGGGGAGCTAGGGAACCTAAAAGATCTAATAGTTATATGATTAAGCTAGGCTAATAGGTACTAAAGCAGTAAATATATAAAGTAATAAAAAAGTTGAACAAGGTAATTATTCAGCTTGGCAATGGTTTGTTGGATGGAAGGATGGTTGCTAGATCTAGAGTTTCTATTCAGGTAATCAGGATTATAATGCTATAGATGCCTAACAAGTTGCATGAATGATATATAAGAACTTCAATTCTTAGAAAAATCTATAGCTGTCGCTAGTTAGACTCGTCCATTGATCTGAATGCCGACAGTATCGACCGATGTTGCTATCGCAGTGTCGGTCGATATGTGTTGCCGTCGATCGAT